CTATGTTTATATCAGCAGAACGTTGCGTGGTATAGCATAACGGCCTGATGCTTTTGTACCTTGCCCAGTAGGAGTACATGCTGCACGTGCGTTGCTGTATTAATATAGAAGGGATCACTTCAAAAGTGCACAGATAACACTAACAGATATGATAATGATAACGTATATTTCATAATCTCTTATAGTAATATATACTTTTTAAATTGGAATGTGTAAATCAATTTTCGGGTAAACAATAAGAATTCGTTATGGATGTAAAGAAAAGATAATTTCCAAGTTAAACATTTTTATGCAGAGAATATTTGTATTTGACACATCATGGTTTTGTGTGTACTGGTTTGACCAGTTCACGAGTAAGGTCGCATGTCATAATGAGGGTCAGTCCCATTTGCAGACCCGTTCAAGAGTAACGTGGCAAGTGAGTTTCGTTTGCAGACCACTTCATAGGCAAAGTGGGATGTCGTAACACAACTCAGTTCCATTTGCAGACCAGTGCACGAGTAAGGTGGCATGTCGTAATGCAGGTCAGTTTTATTTGCAAGTAAGGTGGCATGTTGTAACGCATGTCAGTTCCATTTGCAATTAAGGTTGCATGTTGTAATGCAGGTCAGTTCCATTTTCAAACCAGTTGATGAATAAGATGGCATGTCGTAATAGGAGATCAATTCCATTTGCAGAAAATTACACGGGTAATTTTGCATGTCGTAATGTAGGTCAGTTTTGTTTGCAAACCAGTTCACGGGTGAAGTGGCATCTCGTAATGCGGGGCCAGTCCCATTTGCAGACCAGTTCATGGGTAAGGTGGCATGTCGTAATGCAAGTCAGTTCCATTTACAGACTCGTTCACGAGTAAAGTGGCATATCGTTATGTAGGTCTTTCATGCGTAAAAATGTGACATGTTGTAATGCAGGTAAATTCCATTTTCAGAACATCAAACAATGCGACGTGTTTACACCTGTTGTTCTGAGGTTGAAATTTCATTGTTTGAAAATGGCTTCATAATATGGATGAAGAAAGGTTCAATGCATCTTATGTATGAAAACAATTCAAATATATTGTATAGGTTCTTCACTTCTGAGGCCATCCATTGTGAATTTACAACTTTGTTATACTAAGTGAATTTGCAAGATGAGAAACGTGGTTTATAATTTGAACCAAACAGGCTATAAGAAATCATTGCTATATTCATACCAAGGGGTTTAAAAAACTTGTATTTATAAAAACAGCTGTAGTTCGTTCCTGACATTTTCCCGAATGATATTATTGCCAATACCATAGTGAAAGGAGTTAATGCCTCATTGAAAACATCCAATTCTGATAAATAATTGAAAAGTGGACGATATGCTTTAGTGCTAGCTTCCATGTTTATGTTCAATTTAAAATGAAATTCAGTTAATTTGGAGGGGTATTTTTATTGTCAAAAGATATATGTTTTATTATCACATACTGACCTATGATTCTTACTTTTCAAGATGGAATGTACATAAGGTATATCCATCAAATGATACTGGATGATTAAATATGGTTACAACATCCTGTTATGCATATATGTCTTGTGTTTGTTGTTTGTTCATGATTGGATATTGTTAAGGATAATTTGTAAACCATATATAACAAAACATTTGTGTCAATAATTGCACAGTAAACTGCAAGATAGCAATCATTTATAAACAATATTACTGTTTGGATTTGAGTTAAGAACCCTACTTTTGTCAGGTTGTTGTCAGAATTTAAGTTAACAGAACTGACATTGCTTGCGAATTTGATACAAATATCAATTAGAAGACTCAAGAGCATTTTGGTTTTTTTTCTAGCTCAAGATACAATATATTTATAAGGAAGACCAAGTAAAGAATTAATCACTTCTATTTTAATATCAGTCTTTGCGAAATCACTTTGTGTTCAGATTTGAGAGGAATTATATATTTCAACAATTCACTGGAATTACACATTTTGACAAAAAAAAATTCTAAACACTATTTTGTAATTATTGTTTTTATTCAATGACATTATCGATTATATTGTCAAGACTTTTGATATGGCAATATAGTCAACACTATTTGTTCACCTGCACATTCAAGAGATTGAATATATTCGGATGATTCTGTTCGTTTTAAACTTGTAATAGAACTTCAAGAATCATTTTAAATTTAAACTACAATCCTTGTAACGTATTTTGAATTTTTTGCTTTGTATTCCAGAGTAATAAATTATTTTTGAATTGTAATATGTTTGTTGGTTTTCTCGTGTTCCACTTCTTACTGTGAGACTTTAGATTCGTTCAAGAAATTCGGGACTGATTAAGGATACGAATTTCTTGAAAATATTTCCGATAAAATTTTAATTAGTTTTGAAATATAAATTGACTTTATTTCGGAATTTTCATTGTCACAGGTAGAGATTTTAAGTTTTCATATTTAACAATTCTTTAGTGAAACCAATCACCATTCACAATATCATCTACTAATATAGTGAACTTTGTTTCCATTCCTGTCATGGAAGATTAGAGTTTAAAAAAGGTCAAGTTTCTTGGACTTAGGAGACATTATGCTTTTCCGGAGGTGAGAGCATCTTTGGCAAATTAAGAAAAGATATACTCGTAGTCTTTGGTGGAAAATATTGTTTGGATAAAAGAGCATTGGACTCGATTAGTATGTCTATATCTGGTTTTGAGCGGAAATTTATAGAATTACAGTTCTAAAAAACGCAGATGGAAATAGAGTTCAAAATGCTTCGGCTTCAAAAAGAAATTATGAAAATACAAATTCAGAAAGTTAAGGAAAACCCAAATGCAAATTAAATTGTTTTACAAAACTGGCAAAATCACGCTCTCGCATTTGCACATAATTTCAGGTCTGATGTTATCAAATATATCAAGTTAGTACTCCAGTGTAGAAAAGCAAAAGTTGATTAACATTTTGAGAAAATTTCTAAAAATTTTCAAAAGTTAAGAGAGCACTAGAGTTTGCTATTACAAGTTGTGTTATTTGGCGGAAATAGTGATAACTGCATTTCACTGTTGGTAGAATAGATTGCTGACTAAGATGTGGTTAAGGAATGTGTCTAGAAGTATTATGAGTTGTTACCTGAGATATATCGAGAATGGTTTAGGAACTGAAGAAAAGAAACTGGCTAAAACTGTGTCGAAAATCCGTGTTATAAAGAACTATTTGATTGGTGATGATCATCCAAGGAGGTTGATAAATATTTTGATAACCTCAGACAACTAACACTATTTATAGTACGTTCAAGACTTAACCTGATGGGCAAAAGGCGACATCCTTTAAAAGATACTGTTTATGCAGCTCAACGATTATTCATTGATTCACAATGTTTCATTCGTCAAAAGGTTTTCCTTTAAGCAGCTTTTTGGCAGTACAATAATATGTCTGATAAGAATACTTCTAACTCCCAATCTGGCACAACGTTAAAGAATCATAAGACAGATCAGAAATTCTTATTTTGTCCAATATAACGTATTGTTAAAAGAAAAGGCTCATCATATCTGATTACTACAGGTTAAAACACAACCAACATAATTAAAACAGAGATATTCAAATTATTTTATTCCAATAGGTCAAAGTAACTGTCTTGTATAAAAAGCAATACGCTTTTTAAGTCAAACAAGCATTATTATTGGTATCACAAGAACGCAAACTTGCCATAGCAACATTTAGAATCCACCTTATAGTTAACAATGACTGCATAGATAACGATACGACTGGTTCAGATCATCGCTAACACAACGTTCCCGACGACCATAGTTATATCAGCAACGTCAACACGGCCAGAAATCCATACTGGTTTCCATCTCAAATAAAAGCCCCAGTGGGCGGTCACTTGAGATTTCACTGGAACAATTGCAAGCTTATTATAGATTGCTAAATATCAGAGGAAAAATTATTTGGCAGATTAGACACTAATAATTCACTGTTATCACACATAAAACCACATTTGAAGGAACTAAGAAGTTTTCAGCGTACTAACGGGATCTTATCAAATAAAACACATTAATGATGAACGTCAGCGCAGAATCAAATCAATAACAGGAAAGGAATAAATTATCATTCTCAAGGTACAAGAGCCAACACTGAGCGCCACCATTGAAATATCAGCGGGGTTTAGAGGCAATCCGTTTATGCAGTTGACAAATACAAGTCGTCGATTAAAACTGTGTTGGGGTGGCGTCTAGCAGCATCAATTTATAGTGGACCAACACAGCCAATGCAATCTGATTATTCAACTAAAAGACTTAATTTTTTAAGATAACCAGAGTATAATAGACTCTTCACTGAATAGTTATGTCTGGATAGTAGCACATCAGTTTCTCAAGTAGAAGAAATCGTCAACGCGATTGCGAAAGAAAATGAAAATGCACAGAATAATCTACGAGCGATATTTTAGCAGTATGTGATTGAATACCCAATTGATGAACTTAACCAAACAATTATTAGTACAATAGTACATCTTAACTGTGTGAATGCAGATGTTTCGTCCTTAAGGAGGTAAATAATTGGAATAGCTTGTCGTGATCTCGATTATAAATATTAATTCAAGATCAGCAAAGACCAATCGCGAACGTTCAAACTACACTGGTTGGATGCCGATAAAATTCAGAGGATGTCGATGACATAAATGACGAATAGTTTCCAAAGATATATGCTGCACGGGCGAAGTTACATCCCATCCAAGAATTCGTCGACATAATAACGATCGTGATGGTGGTGGTTATCATGTGTCGCCAGATGCATGTATGTGTGTGTGTGATTTAGATTTTCAACGTAGCTTCAAAACGTTTTCAGTCATATCGCTATGATGTTTTCAGTGTGGCAATTTATAGTGATGTCTAGCACTGGTGAATCATGTCGCAAACATGTATCATGATGTGCCACCCAGTCACATTATCCTGACACCAGGCTGACTAGTTCTAACACTAACCTATTAATGCTGAGTATCAAGCGAGTCAGATGTCATTACCATTTTTTTTAAATCTTTGGTATTCCTCAGGCGGGGATGGAATCTAAAACCACCCACATCCGAGGCGGACGCTCTAACCACTAAGCCATCGGAGCAGTTTCGCCAGATATCGATATCACGTCGACGATTTCTGTAAATCTAGTGTGAGACGCGGTCAATGGTTGCTATGACGCGTCTGGGCAAGCATTACAAGGTTATGTCCAACAGGAATATGTTCTTTACAAATTTTCTCCAGATGTCCTGCTGAATCATTTGATTACTTTGGTGCCCACTAATCCTGTTTATTTAGGATGTCATAATCCGTCGCTGTCATGAATACGTTTTCGTCTTACCGACCAAGATGGAAATTCATTGGACTGGCACGGTCAAAAATCAGCTTTTAATTCGGATGTGTGTGAGAAATCATTTAAAAACAAATTAAAAAGATGCATGACAAATTTGTCTTTGATTTTATAAACAAAAAATGTCGTTAATTATTTTGGGGAATGACTATTCCTCCTTGGGAAATGCTTCCAATACATGTTATTTCATCTGTCTCACACAAGCACTTACAGCCGCTCGAGTTTACTATTGTCGAGACAAATTTTATTGTATTTTCTTAACGGCACTTGCCAATGTAACAATTGAGTTATATTGTGTTGTTCGTATAAATCTGCCAATGACAATTCCGTCTCGAGTTGGAGTAATTTGATAAATCAGTACTCAAACGCAAGTGTATATCTACCGTGTTCACGTCACTGCTGTATCATCTGAAAATTATCGTTGATTTTTTTTTCCAAATCAATTTGAACCGCGAGACCATCTTTCTGCAGTTGTTCCATCGCAGAGATGATCTAGTTAATGTTTATTTGGTTTATTATACAACAAATGTATTTCTTTAATAAAATATTTTATCTAGACCAATTAGATAACGTTTTGCTGTAAACTTATCGTGATGAATCCATGCGGGTTTTTCTGAGCATGTTAGAAGTTTTCAAACTTTCCTATGTCTATGTCGCCGGGACTGATATATATTTTGAATCGTATGTGTCAAAAATGTCAAAATCGTTAAAAATAACAAAATGCAATTATCTCTAATTATCTTTGGAATCTGAGTATACCACTGAGTGACGTAAATGACATTTGTGTTTTAATTTAAGTAATTAAACGCTCGCCAAATTCAGCAGGTATCACACTAGCTGTAGCTGCAGATTGGTTGTCACGACAGGTCATATGGCAAATTTATCTGCCACATCAGTTATCTTCTACAACAGCAACTGAAATCACAGCAGTGATTGAACGAATTCATTCACTATGACTATGGTACGTCTAGCGGCCTGATTTGGCCACAGTTGCTACAGGTTAATCCTGAGAAATAATTTTCTGATGCAGTAACGACACTGATGCAATGACACAACGTTAAAATCAGACGTGGACACACCGTGATACATTACGATCAGGTAATTGTTAAACGATTAAATAAAACACTTGTACAACGGCTTTTTAGACATCGATATGCCCAAGAATTATTGAGAGGAACGCTGAGCATTCAGGACAGTTCTCGTGAATGAGTTGCGAGACTTCCTCGTGTGGAGGTTGCGTTAGGCAACAAGGTCACGAGCGGAATTTGCATAAAACCTGTTGAAGCAATTGCGAAAAACACATATACCACGACAAAAATCACCAGATCAGCTACAACAAATATTGTTGGGTAGCAAAGTAACAGTTAGGTATTTATATGAAACTGATCTCGATACTGGTGCAGAAAGGGCAACTCATCCCAGGTGGAGTCTAACAATGCTTAAAGTTGCAGCGTGGTAAAAAGATCTACTGCGCAACTACCAATCTATAGACTAGATTACACTGCTCCTCAATGTGACCTTGTATGTGAAAAATTCCAGCTAATTCCTGAAAACACCCATTTACCACCAGAATGGATATGCGCCAACAAAAATGCTAACAAGAGTTACATGCTATGTGAAACGAAGCTAACTATGACACTTGTCGGAGGAACTATATTTTGTGTTCCAAAGCCCTCCATAGCCAAACTCAGCACAGCACCGTGAGATATAAACGAAATATTTATTATTTTTGTTGGGCTATATGAGCAGCAACAGACGTAATAGTACAGTTAACGTGTAAATCATTGTTGTTCCCGTCATATTTACCACACTGTTTCATCTCACATTGGAGTGATTTCTTCCGATAAAAAAGGCTAGAAGTAGAAAAAAGAAACTGATCAGTTGTTGATTAATCCGGCTCAGTCATCTCTGTTTAATAGCCAGACCAACACAGGATCTCGTGTATTTATGTTGTAGATTTTTTCGTAGATATTGCCATCATAAAATCGTATTATTCTCTCACTTGGAAATTTTGCTACCGAGTCGGTACACGAATGTGAATTTTGATCATATAAAATTAATGGAGGACACTAACTACTTTTGCACACAATGTCATTGGTTATTGTTTTAACAATTATTGAAAACTTCAGTGTTTTGTTTGTAAAAAATAACGTATTATTTTCCCATTCTAATATTTTTTTGTTATTCTTTAAGTTCATTTCCGCATTTTGAGTTTTAAAAATGCTCTATGACACGTTGAACCAAACAATTTAGTGATCCTGTTTTCGTCGGAGCAATAGCAGCTACGTCTGGTCCATTCAAACGATAAATTGCATAAACAACAGCCAACACTGGATGCACATTATTATAGCTTGGTTTGTCTATTCCCGTGAAAATACCTGGTTTAGAAATTTAATCGACTATGATGACATTGTTATGTCGACGTGATTCCTTAATTGGGTCGAATTTATCATGAATAATCGACGTAGGAACATCTTCGTTGATCTGTTCGACTATAATTTTTATTCTGAATATATGCTTGCTGTCATCTCAAGATTTTTAATAATAGTAAACGCTTGTTTGTCTTTCATTGTGGAATCAACCGAAATACCATCACCATCAATTTTAAATGTCGACCAAACATGAGACGTACCATTGCTGATAAATTTATTCTTCGGCATTTTGATAAATTCATGCAACTGTAGTTCAAGTGGTAAGTGTTTCCCGTAATTGTTAATTCAGTAAAAGTCACACTTGGTGATGTGCTCTGACTCAGTCGCAGATAACGTTTTAAACGCATCTCGCGTTGCTTCGAATGATCGAATGTAATTTTTGATCAGATTTGAGTCTCTTTTGATTTTGGTAATGTTGTTTTGATATTTTTGCTGTAGTAGTTTAGGTTCGTCCCATCTGCCCATGTTATATAATACTTTTCTTAATATACAAAATGAAATTTTAAATGATACTTTTATTTAATTAGACTTTTACTAATATAATAATGATCAACCACACATATAACAGTTGCACGTGGCTATGATAGGGTCGTCTACGGTTTCTGGAAAAAAATGTCGCAATGATTATTGGGCGCTTGATTTACAGAGCGTTCGACATGTGAAAGTACAGGCCAAAAATCTCATTTGGATTATTGGAGTTGTTGCTAAGGGAAAAACAGTATTGTGTGTACCTTGTGTCGAAAGAAAGTATCGTGCGTTAAAAAATACTATGAGATAACCAAAAATGCATCTTATGACTTTCAAAATAAAAAATGTCGAGGATTACATAATGAGACACATAACAAACATATAGTGATCAAGTAAGTCACGACTTAGTCGACCATGATGATGAAGACTCAGTTGACTAAGTGGGACCCCATGAAGGGATCACATTGGTATAACTGGCAATAAATTGGCAATGAACTAAACTGGCACAAACAAAACGCTCAGCCTACTGTCCATATTTGCTGCTTAAAATTTCATTATAATTACAAACAATATATTTTGGCCACAATTTGGTAAACCATGGCCACAAATAAATCTTGTCGGATTCACCAAATAATATCAACGAAGCATCAAAATTGACCAGCAACAGCCAGTAACTGTTTTTCTTACAACAATTGGCCACCCAAATGGAGCATTGGATATTGTTATGTTATTTTCACCGCATTTCTATGTCGTGATTTGTTCATATTGTGACCAAGAAAAAATAAAATAAATATATTCACATTTTAAAACACAAAAAACATCACGATGTGTCATATACTTTTTATGTTATCATTCGTTGGTCATTCCAACATTTACATGTGATTTTCTTACCTAATTTTTTCACCCATATCTCGTCGCCCCATGTCGGCTGAGCCCCTCCTGCTGCTGCAATAAATGAAATGTGGACTACACAAGTAATTAATACAAAGCCATGAAAATAAAAAAAATCCGCATTTTCCAGAATGTCGGGCATTTTGCCGTAAACAGAAAGAGACTTAAGAAACTAAATAAGCACAATGATGTACAGGACAATACTATATGATAAGCAAAGAAGTAATCCCTTATATAATTGGATATGTTATATAATATTGGTATTGATTGTTTTAATGAATCTGTACAGTACTAATTTATTATGTAATAATGTGTGCTAACAACTTCTAAACAAAGGAAATATATCTTCTATTAAAGAAGTGTCTCAAAATATGTAAAATAAGTCGGAATTCATAAGCCTATTTGTAAAATATTCCCTACAATCCCTGAATACTACACTTTACACATTCTAAAGGTAAACATGCAAATGTAACTTACCATTACAATTATTGATTGCACAGCTCTTGTTATACACACGAATTGTATTCACAACTGACTATTTATATCACGATGCGAGGAAAATTATCTCTGAAGGCATTTATCTGCCTGGCAACGCAATTTAAGCTTAACTATTTCATTTAAATCAATGACTGATTTTAGGTGAGCATTATCAGAGTAATTATTCATAAGTTTAATCAGAGTAATTATGTGCAATTATAATTAAAGTGTGTGTAATTATTGAATTAAAATATGATGTAGTATTACATTTATTCTACTAGTGTTAATTGATTAACTCTTCGCACTACTAGCGTTATTCCTGAATTATTATTTATCTTAGATACATCTATGTATGTGCTGTTAGAATTAATACTGTTATATATGAATTATGTTTTTGTTAAATAAGATATTATATATTCTAAGTAGAAACACTGCAGTATGCTTTGTAACTTTTTCAAATGATTGACTTTTATGTTTTATGTTC